ATTATATTGGGGTTATAGAACACTGCCACAGAAGTGAGATGCCCTTCCCATCATACCATGTCATGGGGTATATGGTTTCCATCATCTCATAGTACTGGTGAGGTAAACTTTGACCACTTGATTAAGGTGATGTGTGCCAAGTTTTCCCACTATAAAGTTGCTACATTTCGTCTTTTAATACTTGTATGGTTAGAAGCGAATCACTAAGTGTAGCCTACGTTAAAAAGGAGGAGAATTAGAGGTAGAAATTCTACCTCTTAGAGGCAGTAATATAAAAAAACTTGGGTATATATGTTAAGACTACCACAGTAAATATATTGGGGAAAGACTGAGACTATATAAATACCCTGTTTCTCTTTGATATTTTGCTTACTACTTTTAGTATTCATCCATGAATCTTGCCAAAGCAAATATTACTGGGTAATTTTCTATTTGCCTTATTCCTCCCGCATTTATTATTTATAATTATTCTGTATGAAAGGTTTTTCACTTATTTATTTTTTTTTAGAGACAGGATCTTGCTCTGTCACCCAGGCTGGAGTGATGTGAGGCAATCATATTTCACTATAACCTCAAACTCCTGGGCTCAAGAGATCCTCCTATCTCACCCTTCCGAGTAGCTAGGACTACTGGCATGCATCACCATGCCTGGCTAAATTCTTTTTGTAGAAGAGGAGTGTCCCTATGCTGCCCAGGCTGGTCTTGAACTCCTGACATCAAGTGATCCTCCCACTTTGACCTCACAAAATGCTGGGATTACAGATATAAGACACCACACAGCCCAATTTCTTTATTTATTGAACCATTTATTTACATGTAGGTATGCATGAGCATGAAGTTATAGATATTTATTTTATTTTTTTGTGCTGTCATGCAACACTGTTGTTTCATTGCTCAAAAAGCCTTGCTCATTGGAGATATGTTAGGTTGGTTTTTTGTATTCTAAGACATCTCATTCCTTCGTCTTTTTTAAAGCACTTCCTCTTTAGTATTCATAAAAATTTATTAAATTAATTTTATTTATTAATTAAAACTATTCATTATTTTTTCCATTGTAATTTGTACCATTGTTCTGGTGTCTTCCATGCCTATGCAAACAATTCATCCAGTAGCAGTAATATCTCCATTCAGCAACCTCATCAACTCCCAGGATACGTATCTCCACTTGACTTTAGCCACCTACTGCAGTGGCCCAGAGCTGGATTTTATCATCACCTGGAATTGTACTATTTTTGTATTATCAGGTTTAAATATCCAATTCTTCCTTGTTTCTCAGTGTCTTCCCCCAACAATTATCCTTTGTCTCATAGGAGCCTTCACTCTCTTCACTTCTCTATTTTCTACCAGTCCATAAATCTCAGAGCTTAGAGCCCATGGGCCAGAACAAAGTGCTACCAGCCCAAAGCACACAGTCTTATTAGGCTCTTAGCAGCTGATGAGCTCATCTGTTCCTGCACAGAGACAATAGAAATCATCAGAAAATACACTCTCAACTTCAGCAACCAACTGATGCTCTTACCTATCCTTCTCTTGTATTTTCCTCCTTTACTCTTATACCTCCCATGAAGGATATATTTGGTCATATTCCTATGTAAGGCTAATCTTCACCTGGGTTCTGAATCTCATTCTCTGCCTCTTTTCTAACCACCCAGTCTCATGATTACCCTTCTGTCTACCATGTCTCAAATTCTTCCTTTCTCCTACTGCCTCCTTTACTTGACCATGGAAATAAAGAAAAATGAAACAGAGGCCCTCCCTGAAACCCATGTTAGCTTCTAAATATATCCATTACATTTATTTGCCACTTAACTGGCACACCTCTTGAGAACTGTCTACTCACCTGTCTTCTACTTCTTCATCCACTATGATTCAGCTTCCATCATCTTGCACTATTTCACTACATTGCTCTTACCAAAGTTGCCAGTGGCCTCCATATAACTAAATCCAGTGGGTACTTACCAGTCTTCACCTTACTTGATCATCCTTGTTGATCACCCTCCCCTTCTTGAAATCCTCATTTTATTTTGCTTCAGTGACATCTTTTATTTTTTCCTCCAATTATTATGGCTATTCCTCTTTACATATTCTTTGGGGTTCTGATCTAGTTCCCCATCTCATATCACATACATTTCTGGGGGAAATTTATCTTCAACTACTATTCATATGGCTTAAAAAATTGGGTTTCAAGCCTAGACATCTCTCATGGGCCTCAGCCACTGATATCTCTCTGTCCCCTGCATACCAACACTTGAATGTGCCTTAAGTAACCCAGATACAAAAATCCAAAACTAAACTCTGCATCTGCCTCCTCAAACAGGACCTCCTCTTTGATGCTTCTTTTGGCAAAAAGTACCATGATCTCCCTGTAGCTAAAATCAGAAACCCAGGAGTGGAGGGGAAGTCTTTCTTGACACTTTTATTTCTCAAATAAGAAGCCACATCAACAATTGCTGATTCTACTTCTTAATAGCGCTCAAGCCCTTCTATTTATGTTTATCCTCTCTGAAACCCTTTATTTCTCAGCAGGATTATGACAATAGCCTTCTAATTGTGTTCTCTGCCTCTAATCTTGTTCCCCACTAATCAGTTCTCCACATGCTGCCTGGATGACTTCCAAATGCAAATGGGAAGAAATCCCTTCCTTCAATTGCTCCAGCTGTCCTTAGTCTAAAACACAAAATTCTAATCTGGATTCACAAACCATGCCTGAGCCTGGATTATTTGTCAGGCCTCATCTGTTGTCAGCTTGTTCTTCTAAACTTATATTTTCTCTTGCTTCCAGAAATATTTTATTTTTTGCCTACAGTTCTCTTGTCTGCCCTTAACCTTCTTTCAGTTCTCTCAAGTCATTTCCCCATGTCTTCCTTGACCACTTTTCTACCCCCATCAAGATTGGTTAGATGCCCCTCCTTTGTGCTCCCATTGCACCCATATCCTGTTAAAGCACTTAGCAAACAAAATACATTGTTTACTTGACTATCTCCCCAATAAGCAGTTACTGAATACATGAATTCCTTGTTTTTTTGTTTTTTTTTAAATGAGCCTAACTACCCTCTCTGCTACGCTTCATTTTATTTTATTTTTTTTTCTAGGCAAAAAATGATTTAAAGCAGAGTTTATTTCAGAAAATCATTTCAGACACATTTCCCCATGGAAACATTATTACAAATAGTACTTATGTTCTCAGATAATTTAATATTGTTAATAACTCATATCTTAATAATTCCCCTTGGAATTTTCCTACATATTGTCATTGCTCTATAAAATCTCAATTTTCCTTTCTGCCCCTTCCCTATTTATCTCTCATTTTCTTCTTCTATAGCATCTCAGCCCCATCATAAGTTAAATAGGCTTTTGTTTGTCTGGGACCTCTTTGCACTATTGGTTATTTGGGAAATGGCGAATTGCAGTTCTTAGCAAGAAGAGAATGTGGTAGCACAGATAATGCTTATACCCTAGTTGAATCCACATCAGCTGGCCAATTGACTATTTCTTTGTTTATAGAAAACTGGAATGGCTAGAGGTTGTGATTGCTATAATGCCTATGACTCACTGACAATTACTGAAATGAGATTGCAATTTTTCCGTATATGTTTTCTCTAGACAATTGCTAAGGCACTTCATGGTCACTAAGGATAAAAGTAATAATGAACCAGGCACAGGCCAGGTCAGCCATTTATATATACAAATGTTGATTATTGAAGTTTATAAAACCCAGGGCGTACACATACACATGCACACATGCACACACACATGCACATGCCTGTTAACCTGTTATGATTGAAAGTCATCTTGCTGACATTATTTCCTGGGCTATCCATGTGAAAGAAAAATATTCTATGATGAAAAATCTCTTCTGCCTTGCGGTTGTGACTCCTTGATGAGAGTTGAAATCCCTAAAACTGAATTGGCAATTTACTAATATCTGAGCAGTTAATACTCAGATTCATGTTGATCCAGCTCAAGAGTGCATTTGGACTGCCCTCTGATTGGCAAAATTTCTAAAACTGTGGCTGTTTGCTTCACTGCCCTTCACCTATTGAGGCTGCCTGATGCTTTTGCTGAAACAAAGCGACTCTCTTGGGCTGCCAGGTACCAAGGTTATCTGTCTTCTCATGTTGATTTCTGGCAGTCAACAGGCATGCTGCTGTGTCTCTCGGTGTCCTTGTGCAGCAACAAGGGCTTGGTTGCTGCTGGTCAAACATGAAGGTTGTTTATATTAGTGCCTCAGGTACATGCAGCTACTTCGTTGCTCTGTTCACCTAGACCTAACTGGCTAAGTTTTTCAGTACACTCTTGATGTAGTTTTTCAGTCATCTTTATGTCTTACAGAGTTTGTGTGCAAAAGAAATCATTTTGCCTTCAGATTTTAGTGGTAGCAGCTTATACTAAATTACTGTAGCTTACATTTTGGAGGCATGCTCACCAAATTGTCTAAGTAATAGTTTTATACATAAGCTTAGCCTTTTGACCAGGTAGTTGGTATGCTAACAGCAATCCCTGGCCTAGTCTTTCACCTGTATGGGAGATAGTGTTTGGTTTTAGGATTATAATTTGTTAGTTGGTTATCATTTATTGAATCTCTAAAATGTTTAAATAATTGACATAGGCATTATAAGGAAGTTGAAGACTCTATCATTGTATTAGCCACTCAAAATACTTACTCATGAAATGGTCCTAAAACAATCCCATTAAGTACAAGCCTATAAGTTAAATTCTAGTAAGTGCTGAGCTTAGAGTCAAGGAATGATCAGAATGAGGAAAAGTTCCTTCATTCAACAAATTCGAAAAAATATTTTTTGAGTATCTACCTTGTGCAAAGTACTGTGCTCGGTTAGATGTTGGAGATAGCAAAATAAATCCATATGTTCACTAGCCTCAGGACCTTAAGAAGAAGACAGTGTATAAGAATGACATGAGTGGCTGCTCTATGGAGTAGCCATTCTTTTATTCCTTTACCTTTTTAATAATCTCGCTGTCACTTTGCACTACAGCCTTGCTCTGAATTCTTTCTTGTGTGAGATCCAAGAACCCTCTCTTGGGATCTGGATCAGGGCCCCTTTCCTGTGATGTATTTCTGGTGACCACAAAAGGGATAACAGTACAGATACCGTGACCCAACGGCTACCTTTGGGTAAGTGTTGGGGTCCTGTAACATATATCTGGCGAACCATTGAAGGTACAATGCTGCAGAGACCCCTGACTCAAAGGAATATTGTCTTCACACATCAGTGGGCTGACTTTGGGTAAGTGGGGTGCATATACAGTACCTGGGTAAAGAATGGGTTTAGGTTAGAGGCCCAACTTAGGGGAATGAAAGTCTCTGATAAGACAGAGTGGGTTAGAGGCCACTCTTTTTGTTTTTATTTTACTTTAAGTTCTGGGATACATGTGCAGAATGTGCCGGTTTGTTTTGTAGCTATACATGTCCCATGGTTGTTTGTTGCACCTATCAACCTCTCATCTAGGTTTTAAGCCACGCATGCATTAGGTATTTGTCCTAATGCTCTCCCTCCCCTTGTCCCTCAACAACCCGTGTGATGTTCCCCTCCCTGTGTTCATGTGCTCTCATTGTTCAGCCCCCACTTATTAGTGAGAACATGCAGTGTTTAGTTTTCTGTTCCTGTGTTAGTTTGCTGAGAATGATGGCTTTCAGCTTCATCCATGTTCCTGCAGAAGATATGAACTTATTCTTTTTTATGGCTGCATAGTATTTGGTGGTATATATGTGCCACATTTTCTTTATCAGTCTATCATTGATGGGCATTGGGTTGGTTCCAAGTCTTTGCTATTGTAAACAGTGCAGCAGTAAACATATGTGTGCATGTGTCTTTATAGTAGAATGATTTATAATTCTCTGGGTACATACCCAGTAATGAGATTGCTGGGTCAAATGATATTTCTGGTTCTAGATCCTTGAGGAATCATCATGCTGACTTCCACAATGGTTGAATTAATTTACACTTCCACCAACAGTGTCAAAGCATTCCTATTTTTCCATATCCTCTCCAGCATCTGTTATTTCCTGACCTATTAATCACCATTCTAACTGGTGTGAGATGGTATGTCATTGTGGTTTTGATTTGCATTTCTCTACTGACCAGTGATGATGAACTTTTTTTCATATGTTTGTTGGCCACATAAATGTCTTCTTTTGAGAAGTGTCTTCTTTTGATAAGTGTCTGTTCATAACCTTTGCCCACATTTTGATGTGGTTGTTTGGGTTGGTTTTTTTTTTTTTTTTTTTTTTTTTTTTTTTTTTTTTTTTTTTTTTTTTTTAATTTTGTTCAATTTCCTTGTGTATTCTGGTATTAGACCTTTGTCAGGTGGATAAATTGCAAAAATTTTATCTCATTTGGTAGGTTGTTGGTTTACTCCGATGCTAGTTTCTTTTGCTGTGCAGAAGCTCTTTATATTAATTAGATGCCTTTTGTCAATTTTGGCTTTTGTTGCAACTGCTTTTGGTGTTTTAGTTGTGAAGTCTTTGCCCATGCTTATGTCCTGAATGGTATTGCCTAGGTTTTCTTCTAGAGTGTTTATGGTTTTGGGTTTTACAGTTAAGTCTTTAATCCATCTTAATTTTTGTATAAGGTGTAAGGAAAGGGTCCAGTTTCAGTTTTCTGAATAGGGCTAGCCTGTTTTCCTGACACCATTTATTAAATAGGAATCCTTTCTCCATTGCTTGTCTTTGCCAGGTTTGTCAAAGATCAGATGGTTGTAGATGTGTGGTGTTATTTCTGAGGTCTCTGTTCTGTCCCTTTGATCTATACATCTGTTTTGGTACCAGTACCATGATGTTTTAATTACTGTAGCCTTGCAGTATAGTTTGAATTCAGGTATCGTGATGCCTCCAGCTTTGTTCTCTTTACTTAGCATTATGTTGGCTATATGGAGTCTTTTTTGGTTCCATATGAAATTTAAAGTAGTTTTTTTCTAATTCTGTGAAGAAGGCCAATGGCAGCTTGATGGGAATAGCATTGAATCTATAAATTACTTTGGGCAGTATGGCCATTTTCACAATATTGATTCTTCCTATCCATGAGTATGGAATGTTTTTGCATTTGTTTGTGTCCTCTCTTATTTTCTTGAGTGGCGGTTTGTAGTTCTCCTTGAACAGGCCCTTCACATCCCTTGTAAGTTGTATTCCTAGGTGTTTTATTTTCTTTGTAGCAATTGTGAATAGGAGTTCACTCATGACTTGGCTCTCTACTTGTCTGTTATTGGTGTATAGGAATGCCTGTTATTTTTGCACACTGATTTTGTATTCTGAGACTTTGCTGAAATTGCTTATCAGGTTAAGGAGTTTTTGATATGAAATGATGGAGTTTTCTAAATATGGAATCATGTCATCTGCACTCAGAGACAATTTGACTTCCTCTCTTCCCTTTCAGATGTGCTTTATTTCTTGCTCTTGCCTGATTGCCCTGGCCAGAAGTTCCAATACTATGTTGAATAGGAGTGGTGAGAGAGGACATCCTTGCCTCGTGCCAGTTTTCAAAGGGAATGCTTCCATCTTTTGCCCATCCAGTATGATATTGGCTGTAGGTTTGTCATAAATAGCTCTTATTATTTTGAGATATGTTCCATCAATAACTAGTTTATTGAGAGTTTTTTGCATGAAGCGATGTTGAATTTTATTGAAGGTCTTTTCTGCCTCTATTGAGATAATATGTGGTTTTTGTCATTGGTTCTGTTTATGTGATGGATGACGTTTATTGATTCGCATATGTTGAACCAGCCTTGCAACCCTGGGATGAAGCCAACTCAATTGTGGCGGATAATCTTTTTGATGTGCTGCTGGATTTAGTTTGCCAGTATTTTGTTGGGAAGTTTTGCATCGATGTTCATCAGGGATATTGGCTTGAAATTTTCTTTCTTTGTTGTGTCTCTGCCAGATTTTGATATCAGGATGATGCTGGCCTCATAACATGAATTAGGGAGATGTCCCTCTTTTCCTACTGTTTTGAACAGTTTCAGGAGTGGTATCACCTCCTCTGTATCTCTGGTGGAATTTGGCTGTAAATTTGTCTGGTCTTGGGAATTTTTTGGTTGGTAAGCTATTAATTACTATCTCAATTTCAGAACTTGTTATTGGTCTATTCAGGAATTTGACCTCTTCCTGGTTTAGTCTTGGGAGGGTGTATTTGTCCAGGAATTTATCCATTTCCACTAGATTTTCTAGTTTATTTGTAGAGGGGTGTTTGTAGTCTTCTCTGATGGTAGACTGTATTTCTTTCAGATCAGTGGTGATATCCTTTTTATCATTTTTTATACTGTCTACTTGATTCTTTTCTCTTTTCTTCTGTATTAGTCCAGCTAGCAGTCTATTTTGTTAATCTATTTGATCTATTTTGTTAATCTTTTTTTAAAACCAACTCCTGGATTTGTTGATTCTTTGAAGGGCTTTTCATGTCTCTATATCCTTTAGTTCTGCTCTGGTCTTAGTTATTTCTTGTCTTCTGCTGCCTTTTGAATTTGTTTGCTTTTACTTATATAATTCTTTTAATTGTGATGTTAGTGTGTCTATTTTAGACCTTTCCTGCTTTCTGATGTGGGCATTTAGTGCTATAAATTTCCCTCTAAACACTGCGTTAACTGTGTCCCAGAGTTTCTGGTACATTGTCTTTTTGTTCTTATTGGCTTCAAAGAGCTTCTTTATTTCCCATTCTTTCTTCTTTAATTTGGGTATTTACCCAGGAGTCATTCAGGAGCAGGTTGTTCAATTTCCTTGTAGTTGTGTGGTTTTAAGTGAGTTTTTAAATCCTGAGTTCTTATTTAATTGCACTATGGTCTGAGTGACTGTTTGTTATGATTTCCATCTTTTACATTTGCTGAGGAGAGTTTTACTTCCAATTATGTGGTTGATTTTAGAATAGCTGTGATGTGATGCTGAGAAGAATATATATTCTGTTGATTTGGGGTGGAGAGTTCTGTAGATATCTATTAGGTCTGCTTGGTCCAGAGCTGAGTTGAAGTCCTGAATATCCTTATTAATTTTCTGTCTTGTTGATCTGTCCAATGTTGACAATGGAGGTTAAAATCTCCCGCTAGTATTGTGTGGGAGTGTAAGTCTCTTTGTTGGTGTCTAAAAACTTGTTTTATGAATTTCAGTGCCCCTGTATTAGGCGCATGTTATTTAGTATAGTTAGCTTTTCTTGTTGCATTGAACCCTTTACCATTTTACTATTTTGTAACGCTCTTCTTTGTCTTTTTGATTTTTGTTGGTTTAAAGTCTGCTTATCAGAGACCTTTTTTTAAATTAATTTTTTATTTTTATTTTTATTTTTTTTTTTTTGCTTTACATTAGCTTGGTAAATATTTCTCCATCTTTTTATTTTGAGCATATGTATGTCTTTCCATGTGAGATGTGTCTCCTGAATACAGCACACCAATGGGTCTTGACTCTTTTTTTTTTAAATATATAATTGCACTTTAGGTTCTGGGGTACATGAGCAGAACATGGAGGATCATTGCATAGGTACATACATGCCAATGTGGTTTGCTGCCTCCATCCTCATCACCTATATTTGGCATTTCTTCCTATGTTACCCCTCCCCAGCTGCCTACCCCCAGCAGTCCCTCCCCTAATCACCTCAACAGACCCCATTGTGTGATGCTCCCCTCCTTGTGTCCATGTGCTCTCATTGTTCAACACCTTCTTATGTGTGAGAACATGCGATGTTTGGTTTTCTGTTCTTGTGTCAGTTTGCTGAGAGTGATGGTTTCCAGATTCATCCATGTCCCTACAAAGGACACGAACTCATTTTTTCTTATGGCTGCATAGTATTCCATGGTATATATGTGCCACATTTTCTTTGTCCAGTGGTGGTATTTGGGTTGGTATACCATCCATCATGGGTGGTATATCATCCATGGGTATTTGGGTTGGTTCCAGGTCTTTGCTATTGTAAACAGTGCCACAATGAACATACATGTGTATGTGTCTTTATAATAGAATGGTTTATAATCCTTTGGATATATACCCAGTAATGGGATTGCTGGGTCAAATGGAATTTCTATTTCTAGGTCCTTGAGGAATCACCACACTGTCTTCCACAATGGTTGAACTAATTTACACTCCCACCAACAGTGTAAAAGTGTTCCTATTTCTCCACATCCTCTCCAGCATCTGTTGTCTCCAGATTTTTTAATAATCACCATTGTAACTGGTGTGAGATGCTATCTCAATGTGGTTTTGATTTTCATTTCTCTAATGACCAGTGATAATGAGCATTTTTTCATATGT